CCCCAGCCACGCCGCGCCGCTGTACATAGCCCAGAGTAGTTTTATTCATGTGTGAAGATGCTGAGACTATTTTTGTTAACAGTGTGTCTGTATTTATGTGTGTTGGCCGTGCTCCCTCGTGACCCCTCTGCGCGCAGTGGGCTGGCGCCGGCCCCCCCACCGGATCGGGGCTAGGCGCCCCAGACACTAAGCAGTGCCCCTGCACGATCAGCTCGCAGCCCCCCACCCCAGCCCCTCCCCGCGCAGGCCGTCGGCTGGAAGCAGCCCCTGCGGCACACGGCAGCGTCTGATGTGCTGTGACCTGCAGGTGGAGGTGCAGTCCACTAATAAACTCTGTTGTTGGAGCCATGTCTCCTGCTGTGCTTCTTGCAGCGAACAGCCCCCAGCCCCACCCCGCACATCAGTGCCTCTTCACAGCCACTGGGGAAACTGAGGCAGGGATGCAACACACTCCCCTGCTCCCACCCCAAGCCACACTGCACAGGTGAGTGCCAAGTGCACAGCCTGGGCAGGGCAGGAGGGTTGGGCTGTGCCTGAGCACAGGGCATGCAGGCAGAGGCTTGCCAGAGTCGCCACCTCCTGGCGTGCAGCCTGCCAGCAGGCAAGAGGCTGGAGAGGAGAGCAAAGTTCATAACCACATGCCCAGGCCTTTCGAGGGGCACCGATGGGCTGAGCTGCTGGCAGCAGGAAAGTCAGGTGAGGTCACAGCGTGTGACCAAGAGCACCCGGCTCCCTGGGAGGGTCTGGGGGTCAGTCACTGCCCCCACCACCCTACCCCACGACTGGAAAGCTAGGGGTCTTGGGGCTCCCCTCCCCTCGGACAAGACAGCTGCCACAGCCTGGGATCACCCGTAGTGATTTATTCTGCACAATCAGGTGCCAGCTGCCTGGCGTGCCCTTGAAACCGGTGCTAATCAGGAAGCAGAGAAGGGCAGGGCCCGGGACAGCCCCCATGGGGCAGGCCAGCACCTGGGCCAGCTCCCACCCCGCTCAGGACAAGGCACGTGGATGAAGGCACCAGAGAGACGGTTTAGCAGGGCGGGGACTGAGCCAGGGGCTGGCAATACAGCCTCTGCCCCAGCCTGGCGCTGGCCTCTGGCGGGCACATCCTTCTCGGGCAGGGCAGTGGCAGGCACGTCCTGCGGGGGCAGCTGGCAGGGCAGAGAAGGGCCCCCCTACTTTTTCCACTCATTCTTGTCGTAGTCCCACTGGGTGGCGAGGCCCTCCACAGGGTTCATGCGCATGTCCAGCATCCTCTTGAGCTGCTTGGCCTTCCACTCGTCCGACAGAGTGTGCGGCTTGTCGGGCATCACTGGCGAGGGACAAGGACACAGCAGCTCGCGAGAGCAGACCACCATGATGCTGACCAGCCCCCGGAGACCTGGGTTCCACCGGCCTGCCACCAGCTCAGTCCCCCAGGGTGAGTCACCTTCCCCCCCACTCCCCAGGGCTGGGAGCCTGAGACTGGTCCCGCAGGCCTCAGGATCAGGCCCGGATGGGGCCTCCTGCTCCCAGGCCCCGCAGGTACCAGGCCAGGCTGCCCACGCCCTGGCAGTGCTGGAGCATCAGCCCTGGCCAGGGCTCCCTGAACGCCTGCTCACGCAGCTGTGCTGCTGGCCCAGAGCCTGCAGGATGCTTCACGGGGGTACTGAGCAAGGCTGGGTATGCAGTCTTACCTTGGCCCTGGCTGGGCTTAGACCCCTGGGGGCCTGGTGGAGAGCAGGACACAGACTAGGGGCTCTGCTCAGGCCTGGCTGGGAGCCACTGAGCACCCGCGGTGCAGCCTGGGCCCAGCCAGGGATATTGCTCTTCAGCCCTACAGACCCCTCATGCACCCAGCACCCTGCTCTTGCCTCCCTGGCTCCTTGACCCCCCCAGAAAAGCAGCTCCTATGCCTGCCCAGGCCAGGCCTGCCACAGAGCCCGGACCCAGGACATGGCGCAGGAAGGCCCTGCTATCCCCATTCCCAGCTCCCAAAGCAGCCCGTGGCCATACCGTAGTACCGTTGCCATGCCAAGATGAGTCCCGTGAAGCCGAGGAACATGAAGGTGACTCCGAGGACGGTCTTCCACTCGTTGGACGGCCGGTTCATCTCAGCATAGGTCTGGCAGAACTTGATGTGATAGACTGGGGACAACGGCAGGGGTCAGGTCGTGCCAGGGGCCCTTCTGCCTGGGACCCAGAACAAGTGCCCTGCCCTAGGAGCAGCTACTGCTTCCCGGGCTCCTGAGTATCAGGGCCCACGTCTCAGCCACTTGGGTGGATTCTTGCTGGCACCTGACCTCTCGCCACTGGGGTGACGGGCCCTGTGTGGCAGGGCTGTTGGCAGGGGAAGGATAGGAGCTACCCCCTGGCTCAGGCATCTCTGGGGCTTTCCACCTGCGGCAGCAGGATGCGCAGCATTGGAGCTTGCACCCTGGCTGGGCTCGTTGCACTGGGGGCCTGTCCCAGCACAACGGAGAGCTTGGGTCTGCCAGGAGTGGGGCACCCTCCACAGCCGGGTGTGACCGCGGTGCAGTGCATGGGCCTGGGCGCAGAGCAAGGGGCTCCCGGGGCTCAAGAGATGGGTGCTGGGAGCCATGCAGATGCCAAGCCCCTTCCCAGTAGCAGAGGGCAATTCCCCAGCCTCCCCACAGCCCGACCGCGCTCCCCGGGACTCTTGCGTACGGGCCACTTTCTCCTCATTGCTCAGCTCCTTCCAGGAGCCCTTCTGCTTCTCCGTCAGCGCCTTCTCGTCCGCACTCAGGTCCCTGTGGTACGGGACATCAGGCAGCGGGTGGTTGCGTTTATCCATGTACTGGGGCACCGACATGTCCTCTTGGATGGCAACTGTGGAGACAGGGCAAAGCCCCGCTCAGGAATTGCCCCCCTGCATCTCAGGAGCCCGGTCCGGGCACTGCTGCCTTTGTACAGCGCCTGGCGCCGCAACAGCACCCTGAAATACCAGGGCTAAGGCAGGGGGCTGGAAGGGGTTAATGGGGCACTGGTGCCACCTCGTGGACAGACTCGGGATTGCATGGGCAAGCCACTGACCTTGACCTCCAGCTCTGCCAGACTTTGGAGGGGACAGGACACCCCTTCCCCAAGACAAGCCAAGCCAGGCTCCAGGCCCTGAACACGATCCCGTCCCTGCCTGGCGTGTGCCACCTCCTTTCCTCCTCCACCACCCAGGCTTTGCAGTGCCGCGCCGGAGGGACCCGGGGGAGGCAGCACCCGCGGCTGGGATAGGCTGGTCTGAGCCAGCTTTAGTGGGGGGAGTTGTGGGCTCCATGCTCTGGGGCAGGATGGAGGCCCCACGTGGCCTCACGCCCTTGGGCTGAGCTGGGGCCAGGATCCACCTGCCCCTCCAGGGCAGAGCAGCCTCCCCGGGGCCCTCTGCGGAGGCTGGTAGCTGCAGCCCGCAGCAGGGAGTGCCCAGAGGGTACGGGTCCCCCAGCCTTGGCCCAAGTGGAGGCCATGGCTCTCTCTGTGGCCCCCGAGAAGCAGTGCAGCTGTGGGGGGCAGCAATGGCCACAACCTCCACCTGCCCCGTGCAGGCTCGGGGTGCAGCCAGGGCCCCAGCCGCCCGTGGAGATGCCTCTTACCAGGCTTGCCATGGTTGTGCGCTGCTCGGACGGCGGCAAGGCCCAGGACACCTCTCCTGGCCAGGAAGCTTGCGCGGAGGACTGGGAGCGACAGCATCTGTGGGAGGCACATGCCCTGCTGCAGTGAGCACCCCTTCCCCTGGAGAGGCCTGGAAATGGGGGCACCATCCTCCTCCTGGCAGCCGGTGCCGGTGAGCCCTGCCTGGCCTGTGGTGAGCCCTGCCTGGCAGGACAGTGATGGGGGTAGGACTCCATTACCCCCACCCCCAGCCAGGCCAGGCTGGGGGAGAAAGGCCCCGAGCCCCCGACTGCCGGGGCAGGAAGGTCTGACGGACCCGGCCCTCCCCACGGCGCTGGCGAGGCCTGTTCTGCAAGGTGCAGGGAGCTGCGCGGGGTGGGGGCCAGCCGGATGTTTCCCCCAGAGACTCCTGGGTCCCATTGCCAGCTTCGCCACTGGTTTCCCCACGCGCCCTTGGGCACCTCCCCTCTCTGTGCCTCAGTTTCCCCATGGGGCGGCTGCCCCGGGGCGCTGGCAGGACCCTGCCTCCTGTGAGCGACTAAATGGCCCGGCTGGCGCCCCCGTGCCCCTCCGCCAGCTGCGGGGGCGCTGCCCGTGCGGGTCTCCGGCCGCCTCGCTCCTGGCAGGGCCCATTTCCCAGCCCGGGCCCCGGCCCCAGCGGCTCCT